GGACGGCGGGGGCGGCGCAGCGGTGCCACATCTGGGTCACCCACCGTCGGGATGTGGTGGGTCACAGCTGAGGCACTGCCTGGAGGGACCAGAGGGTGAGGCAGAGGGACCCTGCCTCATGCTGCCCCCCCATCCCCTTACGGGTTCCTGCCCACAATGCCCTGGGGCAGCCCCCATCCCTTCATGGGTTCATTACCATAATGCCCTGGGTTCAGACCTTCTACCCACAATTCCCTGGACCCAGCCTACCCCCCACACCCTACCTACCCACAATGCCCTGAGCCCACCCCTCCCCCCAAAGCAACCAACACCCCTCCTACCCACAATGCCCTAGACCCAGCTCCCCCACCTACCCACAATGCCCCGTGTCCTCCTAACAGTTCTCCTATCCACAATGCCCTGCCCCCCACATCCTGACACCCCTTTTACCCACAATGCCCTGGGGCCAACCCACATCCCCACAGACAGCCCCCACCTCCCCCACACACTGCCTATCCACAGTCCCTTGCACTCCAGTTGCACCCATGCTCCTTTCCGAGCATACCCTTGGGCTAAGCTCCCCACATCCCAGAATTCTTTGCAGGCCCATGGGTACTCACCAGGGGAGGGCAGAGGCCGGGAGGAGATGCCCCCCAGGGGCCGGCGGGTGGGCGAGTAGCTGGGTACCTTGATGCGGGCACCAGCTGGGGGCCGGGGTGTGGGGGTGGCTGGCTCAGGCGGGGGCGAGTGGATGCCTGGCGCTCAGGGCCGGGTGGCGTCTTTGCTGCCATGGGGGCATCTGCAGGCACCTCTTCTGCATCACCAGAGTCTGGAAGGGAGCAAACAGGTTGAGATGCAGCCAGCTCTGGGTTGAAGCAGTGGAAACAGCTACATATAACATTAGGTGGAACAAACTAGTCTGTGACCATGATGCAGTCAGCTCTGGGCTGGAACAGCTGCACATAATGATGCCTGGAGGGAGGTAGCCCAGGGCAGAGATGCAGCCAGCTCTGGGTTTTAACAGCTAGCCAACAGTGCAGGTAGCAACCTGTCATGGGCTCACCTGGATGCAACCAGGTCTGGGGTGCAATAGCTAGGAAACAGCTGCATAAAACACTGGCTCAGGATCAAGATGCAGCCAGCTCAGGGGTGGAGAAGCTCTATATAACACTGCCTATAGCCAGGCTGCAGTCAGCTCTGGGGCAGAACAGCTGCACATGTTAACGCATCAAGGGGCCAGGCTGCAGCCAGCTCTGAGGTGGAACAATTACATATAACACTGCCCAGAACCAACTCTGGGGAGAAGCTGTGGTGCTCACCTGGGGCAGGGCTGTGGGCGATGGTGCGGTTCTCCTCCTGCCTGGCCTGGCCGTTGGGCTCGTCGTGGCCCAGCTGAGGCCGGCACTCCAGCACCCGGCACCGGTACCAGCAACGCCGCCGGGCATCCACCGTGCTCCAGTACAGCCGGGAACACCTGCGGGGGAATAGAAGGGGGTTGGACCGTCAGAGCTTGGGG